ATTTTACTTTTCACTATTCTGCTTAAAGAGGTATATCTTAAAACTAAATGACTATGGATTTCATTAGGCCTTAAGTTACCTTATAATAAAATAAAGTTCATCGATACTATGTGCTATTATTACCAAAATATTGATAGTTCGCTTGTTTATCTCGACTCTTTATTTGATCCAATTGGCCAAAGTCACTTCACTTCAGCATTGTGCAAAAGTACTTCTTCGATAATCTATCTAAAGGAAGAGACGGATTAATATATTCCATCATCTAGAATTCCACTCGATCGTATCCAGCCCACACAAGCACACACACATGCGCACTTTTATCCACTTTGCTGACCCCTACGTCTTGTTTTATCGGCGCTCTTGCCAGATAATCGCTGTTTTGACGATCATCAGGTCTACTAGGGAGAAGTGGGCTTGCTTTCGATGGGAACTACTTTCAAGGCTGTTGCAGCTTACTATTTTCATAAATTTGATTAGTTCATCTTGAATTTTATCATGTATTGTTTCCAGAATTTCGGTTGTAGCCACAACTACCTTGTTATTTTTTCCATTCTTCTTCACATTTCCCCCATCCGTCTGGATTCCAGGTCGTCGCCAGGTGCAGACACGTCTTGTGCTTCCTATAGCCGAATCATTGAATTCAGGCGACTGTTTCATCCTCGTAACAGTGGACAGCGTATATGCCTGGCTCGGCCAGTTTGCCAATATCGTTGAAGTCAGTAAATCGCGCGATTTAGCCAGCTGGATCTGCCGTAAACGGGAGCTAGGGTACAGAGGTCCTCAGCGTCAACAAAATCAAAATACCATTCGAGATCAGGTCGATGATGACTCCCAGACAAGCGAAAGGAATATTGACTCTCTAAATGATGTAACTAAGTCAGGGATTGATGGTTGTTCAGACTACTTGACAATAAAGGAAGCTTGGAGCAGTTCTATTCAACCGATGGATTCTGAGGGTAGTTATCAGGAGGCCCTTGCGAGAGCTAGGAATACCCGAGTTGAGCTGCAGTTCTGGCAAGCTCTTGGATATGATTCAGTCCAGCCAGTTTCACGTGAGTCTTTTTACTATATTTGCCTGCATTATACTCATAACCATGCAGAGGTATTCTTAAATATATTAGCAATACTTTACGTGGGATTGCTAACAACTTGTTTAATTATCACTTATCATATACTATCCAAAACTACTTGCCTTCAGTAGACTTCTTATAGAGTTGGACTAATTTTCTTCATTTCGGCACTGGTCTCGAGAGCGGAAACGTTTTAACTAGCTACTAAGAGAAAAGTGTCAAACAAATCAGGAACTGAAAAGGAATAAATGCATAAGAAAGGGCAAACATGAACCAAAATAGCATTTATAACGTCCGAATATTTACTAAAATATATTGTTTTATGAAAATCAACACTAGTTATAATATATGTGATGTATTCATCCTATTTCATTTAGAGTGCTAAGGGTACAGGTAGTTGAATTTTCTCACAATGCTATGAGTAGACCTGACGTTTCCACAGAATTTTACTTAGCCTTGATCTCCCAAAAGGTATTCTCATCCAGAGTGGACTGCAGTTTCAGCCTCGCCTAGGTCTTATCAATATACTGAGCGAGACTGTAACCATGACAGTTCAGCGTATAATTTCGACACGTTAACCATTATTCACACTACGAGTGCCTTTGTGTCACAGGACAGATATAAATGTGTAGGAAGGTGATGCCTTTTCCCATATCATTTTCTTTTGTGGGATTGTCGATGAACAAAAGTTATATTTCGAAGATATGAAGACTAAGATGGTGTGGCCTTTTGTGTGTTCGCAGTTATATTTGATATAGCAATAGACTATGTTTATTATTTTTCGTTTATAAAGGTTTTATAGACTACCATTAGATCATTTATATCTTGAGACGTCGTGTCTATTGATATTATTGTGGGGGAAAATTCACATAGCAATCACCTTATCTCATTAAACGCAATAGGATTAAACATATATATATATAAATATAAATATTCTACTGGTTGTCTCGAAAGCCTACTTATAAACTAAAAACTATTAAGTGGGTTGACCTCGTTGTCTCTACTTGGTCTTGTTGTCCGGGCATCTTAAAGAATGTAC